GTTGAAATGTTGGCAGTGTAGCAGAGAGTGAGACATGATTAAAATCACCAGATATTGCCACAAAGGCATTGGGGTGTTGTGATATAAAAGAAATCAATGACAAAAATCAGTTATATCATTTAAGAAATGTCAAATCAAAGATAATACTATCCAAATAAACAATTTTTGTGATTTTTTTTAAATAGCTTACTTTGTGTTTTTAAATATGAAGAAGTGTTATTGAACTGTGGTCAAACAGCACCAACATGTGGTGAGAAATGGAAGTGCAGCTTGGGCGCTTCCTTTTGTTTTTCAGCTATGAAAAAGGAGAAAGCATAAAATGTATGTGAAATGCACATGTTTATTGTCGATTATCTCATACTCTATGTGACATATTTATTTCAGAAAATAAATCATGCATGCAGTACATCACACTGGTGTACACTTCCCATATGGTCTAGCGGTTAGGATTCCTGGTTTTCACCCAGGCGGCCCGGGTTCGACTCCCGGTATGGGAACAGTTTCTATTTTCCCTTCTCGTAGTCTTTACAATGATGAATCAGTTAMCTACTGTTTCATTTATGTGACAAGCCCAAACATTTAATGTTTACTTCACATGTAGTCACTCCAAATGTATTATGTCTATATAAAAACTTTTAAAAACATAATTTTGCCTAAATTCAACATTGAACAAAATAGGACACACGTTCGTCTTGCTCTGAAAAACCTTGTGCAAACAAACTTTCTATCACTTAGCATTTTCATTAATTACTTGACCTTTCCTTATAGACTCATTAGATTAGTAAATACGCTGTGAAACAGACAAGACAAATAGCATTTAACAATAAAAAAAAATATTGAACATTTTATTATCTTAAAGCCTCTTGGCTTCTGTTACATCCACAATTATGTTTCAGTGCATCAAAAAAATACAAAATTTCAAGTAATTTGACAAAAACAAAAAAAAAATGTTTCCAAACAGTCCTTCTGCACAATCCCATCATTACAGTAACAAAGTGCAAATGTTTAAGGAAAAATATACATATMCATTYAACTCAACTATGACAAGTTTTCTTYATCAAATGTACCGACATGCAGATGAGATGCAGCTCATGTTTCATCAAAGTTTATATGTGGCTGCAGCCTGCAGACAATGCCTAGCACCGTGAGTTACATAAAAAAAGTAAAAATTATTTAATTTCTGTGTCAGTTGGCCTCAAAGCCACAGCACTGCATGAGGAAGTCCTCCAGGAAGTTTTCGGTTCCAGGCACGTCTGGACCACAGCCAGACTGTGACATCCCACCTCCCGCAGCGCTGAACACGCAGCTCGCGCTGTCCGCCCCCTCCTGTCCATTGGTCAGCATCTCCAAGAAGCCGGTGCTGTCCGGTGAGAGGTTGCTGGCAGTGGTCGCCGGTGACAGCAGATCCGACAGGAAGTCATCCCCACCTGAGTAGGTGCTGGAGGCAACAGTGCTCGGGGAGTTCAGCTCCGTGCTGTCCGGTTGGAGCTGCTTCTGGTTACCCAACAGCTGGTTCAGCTTGGCCAGCTTCTTTTTCTTAGCTTTTAGCTTCTTTATCAGTTTGTATCGGAGRGCTTCAGTTTCACTGAGACCCGGAGGGAGCTTGGAGGTGCTGGGTTTCTTTAGGATCGTCACCATGGGGGGTGCTGGTTGGTTTGCAGTGATGGTTTGAAATGGTTTTGCATTGCTGGGTGGCGGAGGGGATGGCAGTGGACTATTGTTGGCGGAGCTCTTTGTGCCGAAGCCGCCGTACATTTCTGCAGATTTTGGCGGGAGATTGATGCTCTCCATTGTAAGGAGCTGTGGATTAGAGGGTCCTGAAAGAGTCGTCTGTCTTTTCACAGGATTGGGAGTAGAGTGAACGGGTTGAGAGGACTTTACTTCTGTACCAGAGGAGGTTCTTGATGTGGGAGTGGGTTTTGATTCGAGCGTTTGGGGAAAGGTCCAAGGGTGTTTGCTCAGCAGGAAGGACCAACGAGTGCTTTGATCTATTGGGTGAGTTTTCTGACTGCTGGGCAGAGGTCGATCAGTCGAAGACTCTGTGGATGCTTGCTGCGCAACTTCAACGAGCGATGGGTCGTCCTGAGCAGGACCATCAGTCTCCTGACTGAGTGCTTCGGGGAGCTCTGAGGAGGTAGGCCAAGTCTGAGGAGCTTCTTCTGACACCGGTTTCTTTTGGCTCGCTCCTCTCCTTCGTCCTCTTCTGGCAGCGAGCGGTACATCAGTCGCTGAGCTGTCGACTGACTCAGATAAGTTGAGGGTCGCAGGAGGCTGGAGATCAGCGCCATGACACACGTCGCCACCTGCTGCAGGGAGGGAGCTGTCGGGCGAAGGTTCTGGCCTTTCAGTCCTCGTAGGAGCACCGTCTTGTGTTTGCTGGTTGTCGTTTAAATGCTGCGTTTCTGAATTGGCTGGAACAACTTCAACCAGGGTCAGAGTGACGATGTCATTGTGGCTAAGGCCCTCGAAAGCATCGAGAAAAGTTGTAGACCCTATTGAGGCATCAACACCAGCTGCGACTGTGGGGTCTGTCATGTTTGTGCCGTCTTTGTCTGTGAGTGCGTCTACAATGTCTGTGTCATCGTGAAGTGTAAAAAGAGACTGATCTGGAGACTGACTCATTGGTTCATCTACTCCCACCGTGTTTAAACTCGGGGTTACTGCAGGCTGTTCAGCAAACGTGTCCAGAGGAGGACAAGCAGTGGGGTCCGCGTCCTCCTCTACCTCCCAGAAGACGACATGCATCTCACGAGCCTGGATCTTCAGCTTCTGGTGGGTCCTGAAGTCGGGGTATTTCAAGTCGTCGTATTCCAGCCACGATTCTGTAGCAATACAAGAGTTTTAGTTGCAACAAGACGTGTTTGTACTGAGAGGAAACAAAACAAGTGGACTTCTGTTTTTGTAGATCCCTACTCGCCGGGGGAGATTTCTCAATTCAAAGCTGTGAAGATGCTTTGAATTCCACAACTGTTCTATTAAAGAAAAACAACCTCTACATGTAAAAATACCAACATAATGTCACAAATCATTTGTTTTATATAACATATTTCTTACCATCTTTACTGAGCTATGTTAGCTTTAGTTGAAGTTTCAAGTATATTTGGTAGTAACAGGTGCAGACCACTGACTTAACACTCATTTTGTGGGGCCTTTGAGGAAAAAACGATTGGGAACCTCTAACCTTATCAACTTATCAACCTCAGTTAGTTATAGAAAAGAAATGAATAAAATAAAACTGAAATTCTTTGTTAAAATACAAACCGTTGTTCCTAATCCAGGTGGCAAAGTGCTTGAGTCTGTGACTGTACTGTATGACGGTGGTGATGGAGTAACRTTTCCCCTGGAAGCTGAAGGTGAACACGCCAACGTCACTATCAGGAAGCCCCTCCACAAAGTGCAGCACAAACACTGGAGGTACACTGCACAACAACAGGAAGCAAACAACTGTTTAATTAAAACAGACAAGGACATTATATGTAAGATTTTACTTAAACGTTAGTAGATTACAACATACAATATYCTACAAATTAAAATTTAAAGGCTAAACTAGAAAAATTCACAGACAAACCTAACATTACCTAACTACAGTCAATATGGATTCAGAGCAAATCAGTCTACATCACCAGCCAACTGACATCACTGAAGAAATTACTAATACCATATATGGTAAGAAATTTAAAAAAAAGCTTTTGATACAATAAATCATGATATCTTATTTAGAAAACTAGAATGATTTGAATTTATGGGATAGTCTTGAACTGGATGACGAGCTATTTAAAGAGCAGACAATAATTTGTGAAAATGGGAGATATTGATTCTGATAGTTTGGAGACTATAAGGGGTACCTCAAGGGTCAGTGTTGGGACCTATTATTTAATTTGTATATACATGATATAAGTAAAGCAGGGCTGCTGCGATTAGTCGTGAATATGTCATCTATTAAACTGTCAACTAGGGCTGCAACGATTAATCGATTATTAAAATAATCGATGAAAAATTTAATAATCCATTAATCATTTTCTTTTTTTGTTGTTCTTTACTTTGTTTTTCTCTCCAAACTGCTTTGACCCCTTCCACTGCCACATCTGCCTTTCTGTCCTTGACACACATGCACAGTAGTGGTAACTGGGGTAGGCCGTGGACGTCACAAGACATTATACAGACAGGCTCTGGTATCATGGCTACCTGACAACAGAGCTCAAAGTGTGGGATCATTTTAAGAAAATGAAAGAGAAACCTGTGTAATATCTGCAGAGCAGAACTTGCCTTCCACAGCAATTATTTTTAGTTAGCATATAGCTAAAATCTAACGATGGTTATATAATAGCAGCTGCATTCTGGCACGATAAGCTCTGTTTTATATTCAATTAACGTATGATCTGATTAGTTGACTAATCGAAAAAAATAATCGGTGATTAATCGATTATAAAAAATAATCGTTTGTGGCAGCCCTAGGGTCAAACAATGTTTTAGTCAAACAGAACCAACAAGAATGAAACCAAAAGTAAAGAATTAGAGAAAAAATAAATGTTAAATGTAAATAAATTCTAATTATAATAAATTAATAATATTTTTACATCTAAAAATCACATTTTATTCTTTTAATCTATTTTACTCATTCAGCAACCTATTAAGTTTCGGTTATGTTTCATGTAGGAGAAATACACATTGTTTTCAGTCAGTATTTAATACAGCTGGTGAAATAAATTGTTAAAATATGTATTATGTGCTTCTGTTTTTTAATTCAGGAGATTATAAAAAAATCCTTCATTTGATTCAAGAGAAAACTCCGTTTTTTTTAAATGGCTGCTTATTAATTAATTGTTAATCAATCTATAAGATAAATCAACTTCAGATTAATTCATTATCAATAACTTGCATCCTTAAGGAGTTAACTTAATTTATATCTAATCATATTCATGTATTTTTTGCTGAATGTTCAGGTCCCTTATAGTTATTCATTTAATGTGTATAAAATATGCGTAAGAATGCTTGTAATGGATAAGATTGTCCATGGGTAAATATAAATTTACATCGTAAATAATGAATGGATTCATGTATAGATGAATACGGAAACTCAGGGTAAATTGTTCTTATATACAGTGGCATATATAACTGCACATGGCAACAACAACTTGAGTATTTATACTCAGATTTATTACAACTGATATTTATACTGTGTAAAAATTCATACTACTAATTTGTGTAACTTCCAAGTATGTCAAGTTTTTTTTTTTTTATTTATGTTCTATTTAACGAGGATCCATCTGAAAACATAGTATTGAGTTTAAAAGGTAGGAATTCATACATTTTTTACTTCTTTCTACTSTTAATAAACATGTGAAGACTACTATTGAAACAAAAAAATGAATCTTGCATTCCCTGCTTATGTATGTTCAAGTAAGCATGTTACTTTTTACTGCCATCATGTTCGAAATAAAAAACATTTGATTATTTTTCTGAGTCATACACAATAAGATTAACATTTTTATTAATTTTACTATTCCATTTAACCCTCTACATGTTTTGCAAAAAGTTTCAATAAACAATATTCAAACAAAAATATTTGTAAGATCATGCAGAAATGATGATTTCAGTTGAAGTATAGTATATATAGTATACAGTTTAGCTTTTATTTCTTCTGAATCAAAAGGTATATTTAATTTTTCACAAGTAGCTTCTGCATTTTAGCTTCATTTTTGTTCAATAAACCAAACCTTTTAGGACAAGGTCTTTTATTTTTTTATGATTTGATACAAAAAAACCTGAGAATAGAAAAGGGAGCATACTTATTGATATGATTGTGTGTGTATGTGTGTTAAAGCAAAGGTCAGCAGGTTTATTTTCCAACACAGAATTTTATAGGCACCTTTCCAGCAACATGGTCCTCTTCTGGTTCTTCTCGCCGCACATGTTACACGAAGCAACATGAACGGCATTGAGGGGACGCCAGTCAGGAACAATATTTGTGAAGGTGGGGAGAGTTTTAATAACCCTGAGGGGAAAAAGTAAAACATTTTTGGAATTTAGCAACAATTCAGAGTCAACGTAACAGTTTAGTTAAAATGGCTGAAGTCAAAGAATACTGTTATTAAGTAATATTTTTTATAAACTGGTACCCAGTGCTTTCTAATTGTGCTTTTCTAACATAATAATACCAGTAAAGCAAAGATTTCTGACATCATGTTTTATTTTGAGAGGATTAAGCCACAACTATGGTCATAGGTGAGCTCAGCTTCCCCACTTGTCAAATTTCTTTACTTCATAGTCAATTTTAAGCAATTTTACTCACTTTAAAGAGGAAAATTAACCTGATCCATGATCCAACAGTGGTGAAAGATAATAATTTTACTTTATCAAATGGAGTTTTGCGTTACAGAATCAAATCATCTTTTGTTTGGTTTTGTATATTTGTACTCACAGTTTACATCACAGAATATTTATTACTGACAGTTTAATTTGAGCTTTTAGTCTTCTCTCAAGTTTCTTCTTGATCAAAAATGAGTTTTAAAAAAAATGATTGCTCACCTTTCTTTGGTGACAACTTTACATCGGCTGCACCTGAACTCCCAGTGAAAGGAGGACTGAAAAAGATGCTCCGCCCAGGAGTCCATTGTGAGAAGAAGAGGCATAGCGAATACCGGAGTTTCCCTTTGACCTGGAGGGAAGAAAGAGCAAACACACAATGAGGCTAAAGCATCGTTGGCATAAAAAAAAACCCAAACAAAAAACCTAAACGATGTGCATATTATGGCTTAGATATCAGAATTCTTCACATTTAAAAACATCATCCTCCATGTTTTTATTCCCTCTGTTCACACTGATTTTTTTTTCTAGTCCCTTGGCTGCAAAAAGCAGAGGAAGCAAGTCCAGACCTGTCACTTTCTGCTATTATCAAATGATAATAGATACTTTAAAGGATTAAGTTTAACTACAGCCTTGAACAAAAACACAATGACTCAGTGAGGCTCTGTTGAGTTTTATGGAGTGAAAGTGTGAAATGCCAAAAAGGATAAAAACCCTGTATATCTTCTAGAGAACAAAATAAAACTGTGGTAATAAAACGCTGTAATTGAGGGTGTTAAATTTACGTTTTCAAAGGAACTTGCCCAAATGGAACAGACAAGTGTTGGTAAAAACTTGACTGCAGGGACTAAACATGATCATGCAAAAAAAGTGGATTTAAATAAAAAAGATTTTCTTTAAATAGTGAGAGCATTTTGATCAGATCAAATTTTTTTTAGTTAGGCAAATGTACAGTGGTTTGCAAAAGTATTCATACCCCTTGAACTTTTCCATATTTTGTCACATTACAACCACAAACATAAATATATTTCACTGGAATTTAATGTGAAAGACCAACACAAAGTGGTATACAATTGTGAAGTGGAAGAAAAATTTTACATGAATCAAAACATTTTTTACAAATAAAAAACTGATAAGTGCGATGTGCAAAATTATTCAGCCCCCCTGAGTCAATACTTTGTGGAGCCACCTTTTGCTGCAATTACAGCTGCAAGTCTTTTAGGGTATGTCTCCACCAGCTTTGCACATCTAGTGACTGCAATTCTTGCCCATTCCTCCTCGCAAAACAGCTCAAGCTCAGTCAGATTGGATGGAGAGCGTTTGTGAACAGCAGTTTTGAGATCTTGCCACAAATTCTCAATTGGGTTTAGGTCTGGACTTTGACTGGGCCATTCTAACACATGAATATTCTTTTTTTTAAACCACTCCATTGTAGCTTTGGCTTTATGTTTAGGGTCGTTGTCCTGCTGGAAGGTGAACCTCCGCCCCAGTCTCAAATCTTTTGCTGACTCCAACAGGTTTTCTTCCAAGATTGCCCTGTATTTGGCTCCATCCATCTTCCCATCAACTTTGACCAACTTCCCGGTCCCTGCTGAAGAGAAGCACCCCCAGAGCATGATGCTGCCACCACCATATTTGACAGTGGGGATGGTGTTTTCAGAGTGATGTGCAGTGTTCTTTCTCCGCCACACATAGCGTTTTGCATTGTGGCCAAAAAGTTCAATTTTGGTCTCGTCTGACCAAAGCACCTTCTTCCACATGTTTGCTGTGTCCTCAACATGGCTTCTGGCAAACTGCAAACGGGACTTCTTATGGTTTTCTTTTAACAATGGCTTTCTCCTTGCCACTCTTCCATAAAGACCACATTTGTATAGTGCACGACTAATTGTTGTCCTGTGGACAGTTTCCCCCACCTGAGCTGTGGCTCTCTGCATTTCATCCAGAGTCACCATGGGCCTCTTGGCTGCCTCTCTGATCAGTGATCTCCTTGTTCGGCCTGTAAGTTTAGGTGGACGGCCTTGTCTTGGCAGGTTTACTGTGTGCCATACTCTTTCCATTTCCGGATGATGGATTGAACAGTGCTCCGTGAGATGTTCAAAGCTTGGGAAATCTTTTTATAACCTAAGCCTGCTTTAAACTTCTCCAAAACCATATTCCTAACCTGTCTGGTGTGTTCTTTGGACTTCATGATGCTGTTTGCTCCCCAATATTCTCTTAACCAACATCTGAGGCCGTCACGGAGCAGCTGTATTTGTACTGAGATTAGATTACACACAGGTGGACCCTTTTGAGTCATTAGCAGTCATCAGGCAACTTCTGAATGCAATTGGTTGCACTCAGGGAAAAGGGGGCTGAATACTTTTGCACGTCGCACTTTTCAGTTTTTTATTTGTAAAAAATGTTTTGATTCATGTAAAATTTTGCTTCCACTTCACAATTGTATACCACTTTGTGTTGGTCTTTCACATTAAATTCCAGTGAAATATATTTATGTTTGTGGTTGTAATGTGACAAAATATGGAAAAGTTCAAGGGGTATGAATACTTTTGCAAACCACTGTATGTATTTCTCAGGATTATTGTATCCTCTAAATGTTGTTTTTAGCAAACGAGCACAAGATTAATTAAACACACCACTGTGAATATATTCAAATGATTAATAGTTTTATGTCAACAATGACAATAAAGTGATGAACATTAGTGTGTTTGTGCTCAGCTATCATTTTATTCAAAGAGAAACCCTCGCTTCATAACTTTAATTCCACATCTCAAAGACTTCAGACTGTCAATGTCAAATTTATTTGTATAGCACATTAAAGCAACAAAAACTGACTTAAGTGCTTCACAGTTTGGTCAAGACTTGAATCAAAAAATAAACAAAAATCATAGATACAAATACAGAAACACAATATAATATATATAAAAAACTCTAACTGAACTCAGTCTTAATTAAAAGCCAAAGAAAAGCGATGGGTCTTCAGCAAAGATTTTAAAGCCTCAACAGTCTCAGCTGACCGAAAATTAAGAGGTAAACTGTTCCACAGCTTTGGAGCAGCTATTGCTAAAGCCTGGTCACCTCTAAATTTCAGTTTGGATCTAGGAGCATCTAATAGAAACTGGTTGGTGGACCTGAGTGCTCTGACTGGAGTGTAGATGTTAAGATCACATAAATATGACGGGGCCAGACCATTAAAAACTTTAAAAACCATCAATAAAATCTTAAAATCAATTCGCAGGTGAACAGGGAGCCAATGGAGAGAAGGCAGGACCTAAAAAGCATGTGTTTGTGCTTTTTAGTACCTGTTAAAAGACGAGCTGCTGCGTTCTGGACAGTCTGTAGGCGATGCAGAGATGATTTATCCAAACCAGCATACAAAGAATTACAATAATCTWAACGAGTGGTAATAAAAGCATGAATCACCTTGTCAACTTCTTTGGTGGGGAGATATGATTTCACCCTAGCAATCAGTCTTAATTGTAAAAAACTTGACAGTAGAGTGGCTGTATGATGATAAAGGGCCAATGTCATCAGATTTAACTTTACCAAAACTCTTTCCATCAGTTTTACTCTGGGTTCCTCTCTGCTGAAGAAAACTAAAAACATGCAGGTTCATTACAGGTTGGAATGTGAGCTTACCCAGAATGCAACGCAGTTTGGGCTGCAGCTGCTTGAAGACGGACATCCTGAGACTCTGCAGCTCAACRTCAGCTCTTCGCAGCACGTGACTCGGCACCCTGACAACACCAYCTAGTCAAACAGAAGCCGAGTCATTTAAAGAACGGTTTGCTTAAATTTCCTTGTTGGTCGTTGAGACTGTTTTTGTTTTGTTGTTTCAATTATTTCTGTACAAATAGAAATCCAAATATTTTTTCTGTTCATAAATGCAATGAAACCAGATAAAAACAGAATCAAACACGAAATTTTGATCACATATCAGCTTTCGTTTACCTCTTCCAGTTTGTTGGTGCACCTGAACAGCAGCAGAGATGTCRTCATATCTTTTTAACAGCTGCCACACAGACGAGCGATGAGGCTCATCTTTAGGTTTGAGCCTTCTTAAGGTTTTACAGTTCACCAAAGCAGAGAGCAGTGAGTCCAGCCAGCACAGGTTGTCACTGTTCTCCCAGAGCAGGAGTTTGGGAACAGATACAAGCTCCTCAGACTGTCTTATAGAAAGTGAAGCCAAATCCTCACTCTCTGACCCGATGCCTTCTGCGTCTCCACTTCCACTCATGTCTGAAATCAGTGACTTTTTATTTTTGGATGTCAGCTTATTGCCCAAAATCGTCTGAAATTCATTGTTCGTTGAAGAGAAGTCCMGACTGGGACTTGGTTTGCTGCATCCATTTGAAACAGGAACGCCCTCCTCTTTAAAGCTGTTCTCTGATGAACCATTAACTGCATGGTGAAGAGAAAGCGAGGGCTCGACTCCATCGCCGTTCAACAAAACGTCTGCTTGGTGCTCGACTCCATCGCCGTTCAACAAAACGTCTGCTTGGTGCTCGACTCCATCGCCGTTCAACAAAACGTCTGCTTGGTGCTCGACTCCATCACCGTTCAAAACGTCTGACTGGTGTCCAAAAGCGTCGAGGCCTGGGGGAGGACCAACATCCTCGTCTCGAAGTGAATCCCATGTTTCTGTCTCYGTATCCATGCAGTCGTTTCCACCCACGCTCTCATTTTGAGTTTTTGGTGCTGCATGTAGATCATTTGTAAGAGGATTCACAGATTCATGCTCTGATCGTGGCTGCAACTCGTAACTGCCAACTTTGCTCGACCGTGGACGTTTAAATGCAGATTCAGTCACGTCTTCTGTGTCCAAATCCAATATATTTTTTCTTTTGTTCCCCACAGTGGGAACCACGGGAACCAAACTAGACAGAACATCCTCCAAGGGCCTGGTGACTAGAGGGAAAAGGCACTGTATGGGAGTGAACGAAGAAGTTAGTGACGGTTAAAATAAATGTGTGTGTCAGTAACAGTAGAGCTCACCTGTGGGTTTGTGCAAACGGTGATGGATTCCTGAAGGTTGATGTGGTAAGAGCGCAGACGGAAAGTGAAGCCCTTTGAAGAACACCAGGGACAAAACTCCAGTGACTCAGCTCGTTCCTGAACCTATCAAACAGAAGTAGTTGTGTCACAATGTCACTGGTGAGCAGTAACTCGGTTTATAGATCATTAAATGYTTCTGCAAGACAGAAGTAAGCACAAGAAAACAATAAGAGACAATGTWTTGAACAACTTTAAGACACAATTAAGTCACCAGTCTTTGATTCGTCACATCATACTTTCGCCTTTTACAATGTCAAGATTTCCGTTTTTTTTGTTCTCTTCTTTTAATAAATTTAGTTTGGTACTGCTCAGTCACAGTTTCTTTTCAAATATAATTCAGCTTTGCGCAAGTGACCACAATGAGAGGAAACCAAGAGCACCACTGACTTTTCCCAAATACCCCGCCTGTGGCGAGGCCAAAGCCTCCAAACCAGTGTCTTCACCAGTCATGGACAAACAGTTGTTGCTCTTCTTTGCTTCCACGGCTGTCCGGTGCCATTGAAAGGACAAAACCATGTCACCGCAGCCTGGCTCGCCTCAACAAAACCTGGAGGGGTATAAAACAACAACCACAACAGAGATGTTAAAAATTAGAGGGTACACAATGCGAAAAACACACTAATGTTTGGATCAACACAACCAAAATTTAAAGTTATTTTCTGTCATAAATTACTAATAAATTAAAAATATATTTGATCGTGCAAGAAGCGATGTTATCATTTGTCCTTGTTTTCACAGATTTTTGTTCAAAACTATTTTTTTACACATCACTGTATCTGCAAATATGTCATGAAGGTCTTTTTAAGTGAATTAAATGTTTTGCATTCCAGATATGCCCTGATTAACACCAGAGGAAAACACATCTGCTGCTGTTCTCTGTTGTTTCTATGTACATAAAGCTACTATGTTTAAATCACTGCAAAATGTTTTTATTTCTCATATATATATATATATATAAACAAACTACCTTTAATATTATTTGAATGCAGCCTCGTGTTGAAGATCCATCCCAGCTACTCTTTGAGTTGAGTCCATGTGTTTTAGCTGTGACAACAGCACATAAGTGTTTTAAATACTGACATTATTAACAATAAGCTAAGAAAGCTTCAGCACACTGAAAGTACTTAACGTTATAACTTACAACAGATTAATGAATTACTAACAAGATACAAGATAAGATACTAATCTTATACATAATCAAACTACAGGTTTTTGGATACACAAGGCAGATGCTTTTGTAAGAACATGCAGTTCTGACTGATAGCATAATGCTAATGTTAGCCTTAACTCGGASAGTGAATACAATTTTAATCACGTTAAATAAAATAAACATACATACCTAAAACCGCGTTGAATTCGGTTTAATAATAAAATGCAAAAGATAAGGCATCCACGAAGAGCTACAAGTCTTACGTTCTCCAGTGAATGAAGCCCATGTGCATCGTTTGACAATCGTTCAACTTCCGGTTGCGGTCGCTGCCGGGTGTGCGTCGGTCTTTGTACTCCCCGTTTCTAAACGAAAGGTTCCGGCAGGCCTCCATTCGGTGGTTCAGCGAACTGCACGAGTCTGTAGACAATTTATTGTTCACACTAGGGCACGCACTGCACATCAGTGCATCAAACCAGTGCTAACCGGTTTCACTTGTTTAAAAAAAAAGCTTAGTCACATTTGATCACGCTGGGAGTTATTACCACACTTAAAATAGCAGGTTCTATTATTTGCAGAGAAGATTTTTGTTAAAACATACTTTATATTTTTATATTATATCATACGTGTTGTGTGAATGTAAAAAATATCGATTCAAAAGTAGATTAGACTACTACTGGCCTGCTATTATGTATATTAATATTGCTGTTGTATTTAGATGGAATTCGTGTATATACACGTATATAAAAAGTATGAACATATTTTTAACAAGTACAAATACATTTGGTCTAATAGGTTTTGTTACAGCTGAATGGAAACAAGAGGCTGAACAGGAGAGCTACTGATTAATAAAGTGTCACTTAAAAAAGCAGAATTAAAAGACAAAAATAACATTATAGTTTAGGTTGCATGTGTACCTTATTTTGTAGGCACACAATAGTATTTTGATGCCATAAATAAAAAAAATACTTATGTATTTACTTATTTCTGCATGCGTATGTGTATTTTTGAGGAAGTCAGGTCTAATGATTGGGGGTGGGATGAGGTTTACATATGTCCTCTCACTCTGGTTCTACTAAACATTGTGCCAAAACACCCCCCCCCCCMCCCAACGCACACACACTATAGACATGTGAATTCACACACCCATTCCCGCCTCTCGCGTGCGCCCTCCTCCCTGAAGCCCCTCCTGTATCGGCTGCTCTCCTGTCCTCTATTTTCCTCTTGATGACAAAATGAATTTGCATATTTTTCCCAGGGAGTGCTCATTAGAATGCATAAACATGAGCCGGCTATAGCTTTCTGCCGTGGTATCTCCTGATGCAAAACGAGGCGCAGACAGGCAGCATCACAGGCAGACATGTGGCCTGAGTCTGGGCTGTGATTGGCATTTGGAATCAGTTCATCCTGCTCAATCTTAAATCAAGGAGAGGAATAAACTCAGGGCCGGCCATGTTCCTTTGTTTCTGCAACAGCTGTTGGCAAACAAAGTATTTGATCATTTTCAGGCACAAACAAAAGTAGGATTTTTACAAATGGCATATGGATACGATTCGCAAATCGTGGATAAAATAACACCTTGTGTTTTCAGTGGTATAACACTCCACCCCCAACTCTCATTTAAAAACACAATCAGCTCTGTTAAGTTAAACCACATTGTGCAAAACAGGCAAACCATCACAGGAAAAATACATATCACTATCAGAAAACTAAGACAATTTAAGTAGTACTGACAATGTACTCTACAATAACTTCTCTGTGCCTCTAAAAGTTTGTATTAGTGCCGGTGATGGACTCGAGGTCCCAGAAACAGCGTTTATACTCCTATTATTGACCAAATCAGCACCTAAATATCCTTATAACTCAGCAAAATAATAGTTGCTCAAACACCTTTAAAATAAATTACAAGGGATATATTCTTTGCCAAATGGTGGCGCTAGAGGTCAGGTCACAAGGTCACAACAAGGTGCTTCATTCCTTATAAAAAGGTGCACTCCTCTCCAGCTAGAAACTTCAGCTCAACTCATATTTAACAGTTGAACTGTAATATAAATAATATATAATGTATACATAATATATACTGTAATATAAGTGTAAGATAACACCTGATATCTGTTGCAATTAAAAAAATACAGCATTAAATTTATAATAGATTGTCTAAACCAGGGGTGTGCAAACATTTTGTCACATGGGCCAAAATCATAAAGTCAGAAGGACTTGAGGGCCAAAAATATATATATTTTTTACCTGCTCAACAATAAACTAAGCATTGAATACTTTAATTAAACAAATAACGTAGTCAGATTTATTGCTGCAAATGGATGTGTAAATTAATCTAGATCCAGAAGTTTAAAAGTGTTTTGCAGGATTCCCTTACTGAAAGAAATGTTGCAATTTTCTAGGTTTTGGTTGGGTAAGAAATAACCCAATTTTGATCAATAAAATCAGGATTTAGGTCAGTCTCATTGAAAATGCTTGCTGTATTCAGATGAATTTAAGAAATTAATTAAAAGCAGATTGGAGTGCAGCAAAATCAGCTTTTGAGAAATCACTAGATTGATGTGGAAAAAGCAAAACCTGGTTATTTAAAGTCAAATCATTGGTATTGTTGCCAATATTTTTTATTATAAGATTTTACTTTGTGATAAATTTGCCCTGATAATAAATAGAAAGTCTCCATCTACATCAGACACCTGTGCCGGGGGGGACAAATTTGTAAACAAATTAGTAAAATGTCAGGGGCCACACAAAATCAGCTCAGGCGCCACAAATGGCCCCAGGGCCACACTTTGGACATCCCTGGTCTAAACTGTCTTGTTCCTGTTGCTCAAAGTAAAGTCAAAGAACTCCCTAGTTCTTTCTCTCAGTTGCACAGAGACACACAGCATGTTTCATGCACAACTTAAACAATTCTCAACATCTGTTGATCAAAAGAAATTTTTTTTAAAAATTGTGACCTTTCAGCACTTCTCGATTATGTTAATGAGACAATTTTAACAGCAGTGCAATGATTTGTGGTCACAGAGATGTTCTGCAATTCGCAAGTCGCAGTTTAAACAACAAAAAGTRAAATAATGCATAAAAACCACTGTTTGACATCTTAATCTCTTAACATCTCTTAATGGAGGCTCGTAATAATTTAAATTGYGTAATAAATCTGGACCAGCTGAGAAATGTGACAAAAACATATATTTTAAAACCTGTTTCGAAAAATCTAATATCTATTAGAATTTGAATATATAAAACGGTAACCTCACTTTGTGTCGTTGAACATTAATAATTTGGTGAAACTAGTTGAATGTTTGTAATTTAAAGTTTAATTTAGCAGAAGCAAARTGGTCGTTTCTAAACCTAAAAGTCTGGTTTGATCATCGGACTCTTTGTGTTGCAGTGTCCATGAAGAACAGCAAAAACATTAAAAACACATATCCATATGAGGGGCAGTGTTTTATTTTTATGTTGCTAAAAGCCCATCTACGGGTATTGCAGATTAGCCAGGAGGACTGCGACCAGTTGTACATCGGGGAAACAAAGCAGCCACTGTTCAAAAGAATGTCCCAACACAGACGAGCTACATCTAATGGCCAGAACTCTGCAGTTTTCACTCATTTACAGGCCAGCGGTCACTCTTTCAGAGATGAGGATGTTCTCATTCTTGATAGAGAGGAACGTTGGTTTGAGAGAGGAGTAAAAKAAGCCATTTTTGTGAAGAAAGACCGTCCATCATTAAACAGAGGTGGAGGCCTCCGTTTTCAGTTGTCCCCCTCCTACAGTGCTGCTATTGCCAGTATCACTCCACCCCCTGTTAACAATAGGTGTTAATTAGGTGTCAACGGTAGCCATGTGATGTGAGTATCAGTCACATGGAGGCAGGGCTTAAAAGCCTGAATTTTGCCTGAAACTCTCAGACTGAAGAAGTCTCTTGGAGGAGAGACGAAACGTTTCATTAGAGAAGAACCCGTCCAGAGGACCTAYACAATTTTTTTCTTTTTGATTTTTTACCTGGATTACTGAGATGCATCAGGACGTCTTGCATAAGGATACTTCAGCACGCTGTAGGTGCTGACGATCAAACATCTGACACTTCAATAGGAGGACCACCTTCCACTCGATTTACTCGCCTGTGTATTAATGTAGAAAGAAGGGCTGCATTGACAAAGTGTGTAGATTATATAAATAAACACAGTGAACTGCTTGGCAGAACCTTACACGAGCCTAACAGATGTTGTGGACTATTTAAGTGACAATAGTTTTTACATAACAGTGAAGAAACAGGATCACTGCTGTGAGACTCAGTTGATGGATGTTGTCTGCTTCACGACCCAAAAGCAACACGCACACATAACTAAAAATAAAATATGCTAATAATAATTGCTTTTAGGCTATAGTAAAAGATATCCTTCCGATTCCATTTATAAACTGCACTCCTGATCAGTCGCTGCATAAAACAGCAGGCACGGCTACAGCTTCATAACTTTATATTCAGTCGATGCAAAACAATCAGCTAAGCGACTCATCTGATGGCTAACATTTTAATCAAAGTTTACTTAAAAAAGTTCAAAATAAAAATGAAACAAGTGATCAACCAGAACTAAAACATGGGTCAAAAACATAATAACAACAGACTATTTGGTTATATAAATAGTTTCTTAATCACACTGTCTGAATATAGTTATGAAACCACATCAATGCCTGCTGTTTTTATGTGTAGCTACAGTTTCATAACTTTATTTTCTGCCAATAATGTATGCCTTGATATGAATAGTCATATTTTTAATCAAAAATTACCTACATGAATGGTTTTTAATATGAAACAGGTTCAGAAAATGGCTAGAAAATATAAACATAAGCTATTATATCAATAAATGCATATATCATTGTTTCAAATGTGCTGTATTATCTAAATTGCATGCTATGATATTAGCTAAAAATATAGCTAAAGCTCCATATTTAGTGCTTAATCTTATCAGAGGAGATATAAATGTAATTTTCTGCACGCTCCATGTCCTGCATGTTTATATTATTAGCTAGAAGTGAAAACATGGAATGGGCATTTTATAATGGAAACATGCTGAGAAGRTGTTATTACATCTTAGGAGTCAAAATCCCTTCAAATATTCATTTCTAGTCCACAACTATCACATCCAGGAGGATAAATGGACTCTCGGGAGTTTTACATGTGAATACACCATGTTGTTCAAACGCATTTACAAAGCTGTAATTTACTAATAAAGTGGCGCGTGCTGAGGAAAACAGAGTGGGGTCGGTCGTCGACGAGGGGGACAACCTTTCGAAGACGGTGGCAGAGAGTTTAACAGCCTCCTCGGCTCACTGACGACGTGCACAGCACGTTGTCTCATCCATTTAACTCGCCTGCTACTGTACACTGCACTCAACGTAGTGAATTCAACACTATGGCAGAACAGACTACACTACTAGCAGCTCCGGCGTGCTCGGGCTGCAATATTTTTGTATCCACGCGCCGCGAAAAACTTCGGTGACGTTTCACAAAAGCCGGCCAATAGCGTCCCGTCTTCTATTAGGACAATGGAAAGCCGCTGGCCAATCAGAGCGACGACAGACGGGGCGCTGGCCAATGGCGTGCGAGCCCCGCCGAGAGTAATGTTGAGCGAAGCGAAGACTGAAGACACTGCGTATCGCCTGAGCTCTCTCTCATACACAGCCATTGCAGAGCATTGAGATCCAGCTACAGTCAATTGGTGAGTATCACACACACGAACATTTTAAGTGTTTGTAACGACGACAATCACGGTAACAACCCCAAATATCGCACTCATCAGTTCGCAGCGGTCGAATATATGACAACGTAGCGCTAGCAAATAATTTTATTGTTTTAAAAGCGTGAAAAAACAAGAGGCGGAAAATAACCGGTAACATCACATTACTCTGCCTAAGACGCTCAGCACAGAAAAAAAGAAGAAATAAAAATTAACCCCGATTAAATTCGACGAAAACTGCGCATTTTGTTATATACGAAAAATTTTATATATTATATTGTTTTTGTTGGGACAAAGCGGGGGTTGAAGCAATGCGTGGTTATCGCGTAAAAAAACATCTAGAAATAGTCTAGCGGACGAAACACGGTGAAGCGACAATGGTAGAAGACTCACCGTTAGCTAGCCATTGCAGTGCGAAGCTTCACTGCCTGTCAATGTGAAGAGTGCGGCTCCGAAAGCGAGCTTTAAAAAATCACGCAAACACAAGAAAAAGAAAGACCGTCTCGAAATAAGCACAGGCGCTTAATTTCTCGACAAAATCCCCCCGACGAGACAGTTAAAAAAAATCCCCTCACGATCTGCGCTTTACTGTAATGGCTGACTGTATTCGCATAGGAAACAAGGCAGCGCGAGGCAATGACAGAGGCGCAGTTCGCTTCAACTTTTTCTGGCCGGCTTTTCTCGAAAAGCGAACCGGCAACTGTGCGTTCTGACGACGGCAAATTAAAGTTCGGTCTTTCGCGATTCGAACGACGCCCTGCACGCATTTTTCCGACGTTTCGAAAGGGTTCGAATCGGGCTCCGAAGCGAGGCAGTCGCCGCGGCCGCTCTGCCCTCTATTGCAATGGCTGTGGCGCTGACACAAAGAGAAGGAGCCATATTCTCCATGTTAGTGGATGAAGACGAGCGGCCATTAGGAGCTCATAGAAACCAAGTCAGTAGCACAGCCCGCTCATAGACAGCACAGACCCAATGTATTACTATACAAGGCGGCCAGTGCAATAGGAATCAATCGGGGGAAATATTTTAGCCATTTTCGCCGGCTTTTTGGACGTGTTTGCCGCGTCGCAAAGCGAACTGGGCGGCGCGAGGAGACATTTGAGGGGGACTTTCTTTCATGAAGAAGGCATTCTCACAAAATGGAAGAAGAAATATTGCCGTCGTTGTTGACCTCCTTTTCCTCAACGAGAAGCCTATGCGCCATTATTACTGCTTGTGTCGACGCGGCTCAGGACTTACAGCAGCGTTTAATACGGGGGAAACGTACGGGATGGAAAAGGGAGCGTTTTAAACGCGTTTAGCGAGTTATTTACGGGAAAAAATAAACAAAAAAACAAAGACGCGCACGGGAGGAGGAGTGTTTGCTCGCATTACGTTGCACTTTTCAGGGTTATTTTTTCAATAAAAGCGACTTTTTGTGACATTTTTGGCTSTTTGTGTCGAACTTTATTTCTTCAATAAACAATAAAAACACTTATTGGATTTTTGTTTTTTGACACTTTAGGCAGGGGTTTTATTTATTTTTCACCAAAAACACAGTTTTAAACAAAATGCACGGATTTGAAGTAAGAGCTGAACTTTTTTGGAAAACTTACGTCAGTTATGCAGACAATAAGGTGGCTTTAATAAAAACAAAATTACACTTTTTTAAATTATTACTATTTTTTTAAATCTCTGATTTAATGAGATTAGGCAGTTTTAAGCCACCATAATGAGAGCAGTCCCTGCAGTTTTAYATAAGGGCAATAAATGAAGTCATTTTCATGGCTTTAGCTTTATATTTGCAGTAGGGGTGTAAGAAAATATCGATACAATGAAATATCGCGATATTTCATT